TATCTTAAATAAGGATTATGGACTAATTAATAAAAAAGAAAAACCATCATACTAAATAGATAATATTTCTAATTTGTTAGATTAAAAAATACATTCTTTCCAATTTAAATTATTGAAATATTTAAAGACAAAAGGAGATGTCGTATTATAAGTTTCATTTTGCTAATATAATGTTTATGAGACAATTTCAGTATGAAATAAATATAATAAGTTGACGATTTAATAAAATATAAAATGATATAATAATAAAATAAATATTACAATTTTACAATCTAATTACATTTGTAAAATTATAGGGGTTATAATTTTTAAAATCAAAAGTATTTACCGCAATGCATTTTTATAAACATGACATGTAAGCAAAATTATAACTCACGAGATCACGACATGTATCTAATAATAAGATTGATCAAATGATTAATATGTTAAAACTTAAAATTAATTAAGAAAAATAAGATTTAAAATAAAAACTAGTTGTCAAGTTACTAATCAAATAATAAAAAGTAAAATTTCTAATACTATCCATACTAACTAAGAAACAAAAATTAAGATGAAATATAAACATTACATAAGCCATAAAAGAAACAGATAATACATACAGAATAAAAATGATAGTATATAATTAAAAAAATGAATGATAAAAAGGTATATAAATTGGAAATATAAAAGTTATAAAAGTTGTAGAAACCTCAATTTAAAAGTTTAAAAATATATACAACAATGAAAAAATAAATTAATAAAAAGAATCTATAAAAATACTTATTTTATCATAATAGAGTTATAGAATATCACAAAGAAAATAGAAATTTTTGACTTTTGACGCCATTGGTACTCTCCAATGTATATATTGAAAATTATGTAAGTTAAAAAATAATAATATTATATTTACTATGAAGTTAATACTGTATAAACTTTGGCGAGTATTAACTTTTATGAGAAATAAAACGATGACATTAATAAAATACAATTATCACTCATGTACTTATGTAATGGTTCACAACATTATTTGTAGTTTTTATGAGGTAACTACATAAATTTTACTTTTTCTGATTTAACTATATAGCATTTTAATTGTTTTTATTTCTATCACAAAATTCGTAAATATTCATAATGGGTTAAAATATATATTTTTGGGTTATTGAGAATATGATTTAAATTTCGATTATATATAGTTTTCAATGTATATATTTTTTGTATTTTTAAAAATATATAATTAAAAATATATATTTTGTGTTATTAAAAATAATCGAATATGATGCAAATTCCGATTATTTTTTGGATTTGCATGATATGGATTAAAACATGAGAATTATGATATAAAGTGATTTCTACTGATGTTAGAATCTATGTTAAATAATATT